TTMTTCCTAAGTATTGGATSGAAAGCTCCACTGCAAGRGTTGCTCAATGGAATTACTTCAAACKCTGGAGCTCAATGTGAAAGCTCAACGTAGGACCAATTGCAYACAAGCGAAGGAAGCTTTGGAAACATATGCAAATTTTCTCTAAGCGTCTCCCWWTTTTTGTTTTCCTTTTTTCACTTATCAAATTTGGTGTTTCGTTTTTTTCTAGTTGTTACAAAACACAAATGGTCCAATGGAAAAAAAAAAGTTCTGTTTGAGTGTAATCTCTTTCTTGTTGCTTTTTTGTTCTTATTTCTTATTGGGGGGGTAGTTCGCATTATTTGGAACTCGTTTTTTTGTGCTTACCTTATCGACAACATCTCTGGCAGATCGCAAACGGGTAACCGTTACCCGTACCCGGACCGTACCCAATTGTAACCGCCAGGTTACGGGCGGGTATGGGTACCCCTTCCGAAGGGGGGGTTGGGTATGGCCAGGCACAAACTAAAGGTGGTGGTTGTTAGGGCGGGCACAGTTGTGTTATGATCCTGGCCAATTTCGAGATACACATCCATTAGATAGTAAAATGCCATCCAATTGCAGAAAGAAATGAATGAACTTGAGAGGAGAGAGAGGATTAGGGGAAGAAGAAGAAGTAAGAAAGAAGAAGAAGCTGATGTACACCAGCATAGACAATTCACAAGGCTCTTCTTCTTCGCCCAACAATCTCCTCCTCCTTATCTCCCCCTTCTCTTATTCACACAAGAAATAATAATACAATGTTGAATGGCTGATCTAGAATCAATGTCCGAGTCCCTCTTCTACTGCAGGTATCACTTGAGGTCCACCATAACCATGGCCGCCTCCCCCACACTTCACTCTCATAGGCCGAGGCTATGGCGGACTACTAGGCCTTGCCCAGATGCCCAAAGGACAACCCAAAGCAGCTGCTCTAGCTCAGGCCGCCATGCCCAACCCTGCCTTGAAGCTTCTTGGTGTGGCTCTCCCCAGTTGGGGACTCCCTGCTTCAGCGCCCACCAAGGTGATGAAGATGGCTGCCACCATAGCGAGGTAAGTACCCCTGGCGCTCCTGCCCCTTCCTTCTTCCTCCCTCGTGTCCTTCTCCTTCCTTCCCAGCAGTGCTGCTCCAGCATAGCGCTGCTCCAGCCAGCGCTCCACCAGTGTGTCGCCAAACTTGCACACCGAAAAAGAGGCCGGACTCTCCGCCCGGCCGGAAGATATAGCGGCCTGCTTTGCCTCTTCGGCGGTGACTTCTAGGCTGCTCAGCCTTCCAAGCAACCGGTACCTCCTCCCTTTCGGAGGGAAACATCATTGCAGACTGTGATATTGCCCATACAGGCCCATAATGGTTGGACTGGTATCCACCTAGACCTAACCTACAACTACTGGGCCTCTAAAAATGCCACTTTTGTCTTCTTCTGCTCGGCCTCCAGTACCCGCACATCTACCCCTTCAGGGTGCGGTACCGGCCTACCCGCTACTTGAGTGTTTTTCCTGCTGCAATCCATGAATGTCCTGGGTGGGGAGTGGTGCGTAGGTGCTTCGGCCGGCTCGGTGGGGAGGTGGTGGGTAGGCGCTTCGGCCACCTCAGTGGGCAGGTGGTGGGTAGGTGCTTCAGCCAGCTCGGTAGGGAGGTGGTGGGTAGGTGCTTCGCCAGGCTCGGTGGTGAGGTGGTGGGTAGGCTGTTCTGTCGGCTTGGTGGGGAGGTGGTGGGTAGGTGCTTCGACCTGCTCGGTGGGGAGGTGGTGGGTAGGTGCTTTGGCCGGCTCGGTGGGGAGGTAGTGGGTAGGTGCTTCAGCCGGCTCGGTAGGGAGGTGGTGAGTAGGTGTTTCGGCCGGCCGGGTGGGGAGTGGTGGGTAGGTGCTTCGGCCGGCTCCGGTGGGGAGGTGGTGGGTAGATGCTTCGCCCGGCTGGGGGGGGAGGTGGTGGGTACGTGCTTCGGCCGGCTGGGTGGGGAGGTGCGGCGTAGGGGCTTCGGCCGGCTCGGTGGCGAGGGGGTGGGTAGGTGCTTCGGC